TGTACTCTAAGGACAACACTAAGTGAAACTGAATCCAACTTCCAACAAAATTAAGTTACAATGTGCAACCAATTAATTTTATTTTTGTTTGTAAATGTTCATGTGATGATCAATATTCGATTGAAACATGTTGTGATTTTGAGTGTTGTGTAGATGGTTAATAAAAAAATAGGATTTTATTATTAAGCAGCTTTTGTGCCTTCTGTGTTTGTAAAATTTGCTGCTCCCATCCTGGAAAAAAATTATGACAGGGCTCATGCTGTAATGCTATATATGTATTGCAAAATAAGCCACCAGAAGGATCAGGTACACTGTAACTAAACTAACTACATGGAGCAGAGCCCTTCTTGAGAAGTCCCTAGTTGTGCAGCTACTCAAGAACTTCCGAACATTTTATGGAACCCAAAGGTTCATTGCCATGTTCAGAAGAGCCCTCCATTGGTCCCTATCTTGAACCACATCAATCCAGTTCATACCATCCAATCCAATCCTTTCTATCTAGGATCAATTTTAATATTATCCACCTAACAACATCTTAGTCTTCGTAGTGGTCTCTTTCCTTTTGGCTTTCCCACCAGTATCCTACATGAATTCTTGTTCTCCCCATTCATGCTACATGCCCTGCCCATCTCATCATTCTGATTATAATTGGCAAAGAGTAAAAATTATGAAGCTTCTCATTATACAGTTTTCTCCAACCACCTGTCACTTCAACTCTCTTGAGTCCAAATATTCCCTTCAGCTCTGCTGCAGTATAAGGCTGCAAATTTTCTTTGAGATTTTTCAAGTTTAGATGAATCCATCAGTGTAGTGGAGCTCCAAGTTACAGAAGCATACTAAAATTTGGACAACATAGTGTTGTAGAAAACCAAATTTAATCAGTGTGATGGTGAAGAAGAGTGTACAGTCCAATAGAACTGGAATTTTGACAAACTTCAAATGTGATAAAAGCAATATTGTATAATTTGTAATTTAAATTTATTGTTTGTTTTACCTATATTAAGTTTTGTACCATTATCCAAAGTTCAACTCTGTGCACAATATCAGACTGCAGAAGTTTACAGTTACCAACTTTACTAATACTTTGATACAAGGAGCAGCAGTGAAATATAACAGTTTTCAAAGTGCTGCTGTAGCAGTATGAATGAAGTAGGAAGGTGGGGATTTATTGCCAACTGTTCTTTAATCTCTGCAGTTGCTTCCAATAGTATAGTTATAAGTGAGCATGGAGAACTGCAATGTGTTTGCAGTTAACAGCATGTCCTGAATGTAAGTATAGGTCCAAAGCAGCATGTCTGATCAAGCCTTAAAGAATATATCACATGTCATGAGAGCACTTAAAGTGATGTTTTTGAGAAACTGTTAATTACATGATAGTATTACCTTTCTAGTGAATTGTTTTTATTCGCCCCTCCCCCTTCTCAGTAGCACTGTAAAAACCACCACATTCTTCAGCCACACATTGCATATCTTTAGTAGCAAACAAGAGGTAATGAATGTTAAAAAAAAATCCGTGGTCTGTAGTCCGCAAATGAACTATACCGACTGAGCGACCGCCGCATGTCGGCGAAGTTGGTGCAAACTTTTGTGGATTGAGGGTGTTGCGTGGTCAGCACAACGGATCCCCACGGCCGTTAATCTCGGTTTTCTAATCAATTATTATTATTATTATCATCATCATCATC